AACTCCATATGAAACTTACTACAAATTAATAGAAAACATGTCTAGAAGGATCGAGACATGCATTTCTAGTGATGGATATTAATATAAAGTTTTATTTCATTTTTTTTATTTACACAAAATAAATATTTTGTTGATCATCATCATTTTCGTCGAGTTTCGGATTATTTTAGACGTTTTGAGAGTATTAAAATTTACATGCATATTCATCAAAACCTAAGCTACATTTTGATAACATTTTATGTGTAGTTATTATGCGCGTTTCTGTATAATTAGTAAAAACAGGTGTCCAGATACTTTTGTCCAGGGAGTGTAGGTCAGTCCTGGAACTCATAATTTGAATTTCTGGTGTCAATTGATGTCATAATTTTCTGAAAGCATCATATTTTTAAGGATTTCAATTTGCTACCTTCTTCTAGACAAGCCAGAAAATCTCTATGTACTGATTTATAACTCATTTCAGCTGGTAAAAATACAATTGATTGAGTTATTCTATTGACACTTCTGCCTAGACTTGGTAATCCATGGACTTCAGCATAATTTTCCAGAAAATTCTTTAATACTTCAGCAACATTCTTATCAATCACCATTTTAGTTTTCCATTGAGGTATCTTCTTTACATTGCCATGAACTCTTGGTAGAAGTCCATTTTTTATCAGGTGATTTCTGATATTTTCAAAGTAAGTTCTGCCAATTCCTAGCATATTGAGATAAGTTTCTTGACAAAGTAGTGTATTGTGATCTCAGTGATAGAAAGTTCTTTTATTAGATCTAGTTTTCTTTTTAAGGCATCTACTGGTGTTTACTGTCCCTCCATCCATTGTTTAATCTGTGCCATTAAAAATATGTCTTGTTCTGATTTAGAAAGAGCTTGAAAGGATTCATGTAATTCTGCAAATTCTTCCTTGGAAATTCTTGAAGAGCAACCACATTTGCAACCTTTTTCTAAAAAATCAATTGCTTTTTGATATTCATTAGAACCATTGTATTCATTATTACTTTTCATATACCTATAACCCTATACATATATAATTTTATGTTCACTTTGTAGGTTTTTTAAAATTGAGATGAGAGAAAGAGAGATGGATAGAGGACCATTCAAAGAACAAAATATTGAAAAGGCAAAAAATCAATAAATATTTGTGATATTTTTATTTTCATTAACAATAATTTAATAAAAATGGTTTCTATCTTTAAATAATTATGTATTTTTCTATATTTTAGTTGGATAAAAAACTAACTTTTTAATCCTTTCCTTGATGTGTACATGTCTATTACAACATTCATAATATTTGCTAATAAATTAAATTGATAAATTGCATCACCCAAGTAATAAATACCAAGACATGCAGAAATGAAGCTTTTTAAGGAACCTGATTTCAAAACAATAATATGTATCTATCAAAATTTCATATCAAAAACTTTCCTTTTCCTTCCCATTGTATAGTTCCTTAAAAAAACCATGAATAATAAATCTGATATTGATTGCAGGTGTCAGATTTAATAAAATTTCCTATAACCAACATACAATCACCATGCAATGCACTCCTCATAACCATGGAATTTTTTTCCATAGGTGAGGTGATTGGACATGTTGGAAGGCTTTTATAAGATTGGCAAAATTTTCCTTACTTCCCTTCAGACCATGTTTGGCTGCTACCATATGAGTATTGATCACTGATGAGAGTCAGCACTCACAACCCATTCTGAATTGTAAACCTTCCCTGAGCTTGAAACAAGTTGCAGATTTTCACTGCTTTGATGGGTCTAGATGTTTATGTGCACCTAACATTACAACTTTTTTCCAGAGTTGGTTGCATAGCCAGCCACCTTTATCCTAGAAGAGGATCATTGCAGGAAACTCTTTAGCTAACATGCATGCCAAGCTCAGGTGCTGTGAAGGAAGATTAAGTAAGGTTCACAGAGTGTCCTTGTCAACTATGCAGCTTTGATAAACTCCAGGCCTTACACCCCCTGGAATTTAATTGCATCATTGTATCATCGGGGGTCTTTCAGTCAGATTAACCTTGTGAACGTGAGGAATGTGTGAGAATGAATGTAAAATCAGCATGGTGGAAGTTTGATTTTATTGGATATAAGATGTGACAAAATAAAATTAGGTTTTTACCAAAATTAGAAAATTTTAGGGAAAATCAAGATTTATATGGAATGTGTAACGTTGATCGCAGCGAA